GGCTGCTGGCGGTTCTGGGTGGCCCTGCGATCCTTTGGAAGGTGCCCAGGTAAGGAGCTATGGATGCGTGCTGCGTATGTTTTCATGTTGTGGCGCTTCTTTAGGGGGTTGGGGCTGGTCCTCTTACGGGAATGGATAGTCCCATATTCAATTCTGAGGACTAGGAATAAAGAACACGGTGTTACTGCTAGTCTCGTTTTACAGGTAGACGTTACAGTAGATTACATTTTAGCTGGAAACTTGATTTTTTTATGACTGCATGTTTTTAGTAATGAATGAAGTGCCTAACTATTAAATTTGCAACCAATGCTGTCTAATACAGCAAATCAAACAGGAAATATCTTTTATTTCTTAACTGATATATTTTTTTCCTCAATTTTTGAGGCAGTAGATAATGTCTTTTCGTGGAGGAGGAAGAGGAGGTGGTTTCAGTCGTGGAGGAGGTGGTGACAGAGGTGGCTTTAATCGTGGAGGACGCGGTGGCTTTGGACGAGGAGGAGGTGGACGAGGAGGCTTCAACAGAGGCGGATATGACCAGGGCCCTCCAGAAAGGGTAGTCTGTAAGTTGTATGACGAGATTATATTTATTTAATTTAGAGCGACTGTTCCAGATCTTTAGTATGTCTTCTTTATTTCAGTATTGGGAGAGTTCATGCATCCATGTGAAGATGACATTGTTTGTAAATGTAAGACAGAAGAAAACAGGGTGCCTTATTTCAACGCACCAGTGTACTTGGATAATAAGGAGCAGATTGGCAAAGTAGATGAAATCTTCGGACAGCTGAGAGATTTTGTATCCTTCAGAAGCGTGGTATATCCATCAGTGTGGTGTATGATGTTTGTGTTTTAAAGGCTGATTATTGAATGGAATTGCTCTAGGATTTGAAAAGAATTTAAAGCTTGACTACAGTTAAATGTAGTCATAGGTGCAACTGCAACTGTCAGTAGATATCTCTTTCTGTTGAAGCGCTTATTTTAAAAAGTTTTCAATATGACAGAGTATGGGTACCTTGTGTCAGGCAGAGGTTTGCAGTCAGGCAAGTTTATAACTACATAAGGTACTGCCAGGTGTCTTTTGAGTCTGGTTGTTCAGAATGTTACTTTTCTGGCTACCTGAATTTCCCTGCTGTAGGTTGTTAACTTAATAACAGGATTGGCCCAAGGGAGAGGGCTTTCTGTGCTTTAGGGGACCTTGCTTACGGTCCAACTTGTTACTTAAATCAATTGTAAAGATGGTTTTGTGCTAGCATGTCCTCTTGTGAAGGAAGATGGCTGAGCTAAAGTCACAGGGTCCCTTCTGTTATTGCTGAATCGACAGAATCCCTGACAAAAGGGGAAGAGCAAGACAACTGACAAAGTAAACCTATAATCTCACGGTAAGACTTAGTCCTTGTTGGTCAAGCATCGGTAACAAGCTCTGTGCATTCGCCTGTCCTGTTTTAAATGTGAAGTAGAACGTGCAAGTTTAAATCATTATCGTAATATGAATGTGTTAACTGACAAATTCACTCTTGTATCAGAAATATTTGAGTTTCAAGAACTCTCTTCCCCTTCTCCCCCACTCTAGCATATTTAGCGAAAAAAAAGGACTTGAGTGGATTTTGCAGCTCCTTGCTTCCCCATTTTAAACTTGAGATTCATTAAGTTTTGGCCAGTCCATTTTGAAAGCCAAATACCAGAGTCCTTGCACACTGGTAAGCCACAGGGTGTACAGAGTTGTAGGTGGAGGCATGAAGGCTCTCTGCCATTTGACTGCAGGGCAAGATGAGCATGCTGCTGAGGCTAGCAGTTTCTGCTAACTCATCTCTTTCCACAGCCAGGCAGTTGTGGAAAGCACAACTGTGCTAGTAGAGCCTCTGTAACATGGAGTTCAACCAAATTGTTCTGGAGGTGTATTGAGGTCATCCAGGGGGCTTCAAGAGATATTTGTTTACCCTGGCAATTTATCTCTTTACAGTCATTTTTAAATACTCTTGCCCGTTGGTACGTTCTTCTATTATGCTTTAATACAAGGGAAGGAGACAACGATTTTACCACAAAATATCGTATTTTTAGCTGTGGAAAAACCCTGGGAGAAATTAGAAATTGTTTCTCATCTGTCAGTTATAATTTTTCATTTGTAGTGATGCTGTTTACCTGCGTGTATAGACTGCCAATGTAGAAATTCTATGAATGTTTCTTTTATATAATAATCAAAAGTGCTATTTCTCATGTTTTATTCCTGATATGTTCCTTAAAGAAAATAACAGTATTTTTCAGTGAAACTGTCTGAGAATATGAAAGCCTCTTCATTTAAAAAATTGCAAAAGGTGAGGCAGTCTTAATAGTGGAACTTTACTGTATGGCATCAGTTAGATAAAATGTAACTTTAGTAATAGTTTTTATTGACGTTAACAGCTAATTGTTCTTTGAAAACGTTAGTATTCCTTTGCTCTTCCTTTTTACTTTTTCATCTGCCCTATTTTTACTTCTTGTTGAGAAGGAAAAAAGTAATGAGTGAGACTTCTTAAATGCAAACATTATCTATATTTTAATAACTTAATTTTCATTTCTGCATTGTGTTTACGTTGCTCTTTGCAGTGGACAATTTGTTATAAAGGAGTAACACTGAATTGTGGATATTCATTAAAAAAAAAAAAAAAAAAAAGGCAAAAGAAATTAACGTGCTCTTAACTCCTGATACTTTCAAAGACTAATGGAGCTGTCTTCTTACAGTTTTACATTGATCCTGCAAAGCTGCTACCCCTACAGAGATTTTTGCCAAGGCCTCCTGGAGAAAAAGGTCCTCCTAGAGGAGGTGGTAGAGGAGGACGTGGTGGTGGACGTGGAGGAGGAAGAGGTGGTGGTAGAGGTGGAGGTAAGTTCCCAAGAGTAAAAGCTGCAGAATGTTTCTTTGGTAAAGACAGTGATGTGCTTTAATAAATAGTTGTATTGTGAAGAAAAATATTACATGTTTCTGTTTGATATCTCAGTGGAAGAGACAGTGATGTCTTTCCAAATGCAAGAGCGAGCTAGCCACTAGCTTCTGTAGCTAGTTGAATAATAGATCAAAAGTGTAGGAAAGAGAGTGATTGATTTATAACCAAGATAGAATTCATGAGATTAAGAAAACTTAGTGACCCTTACCACAAAAGGTTTGCTTAAAAGGTAATAGGTAGTATATACTCAAAACTGTTAGTGAAAGCTGCATTTGTATTGTGTTTTGAAAATCTAGTTTGGACAAAATACTTGCAATGTATTGTTTGAAAGAAGGGTCAGTGACCCACTAGATCTCTTGTGTCTTGGCTATTTGAACATAATCTGTGATGTGCTCCTTGGTTAAAAATAAAGTTAATTCTTCCTTAAGTCTCAGACTTTTCCTCTTCTCCCCACCGTGCCCCTTTGTGTGCAGAGAGCAGAAATATTTAAAAAGTTCCCTTTTTTTTTTTTTTTTTAAATATAAAGAGCTGTAGTAATTTTTGGCTCGCATGAGTTAACTTTTAGTATTTTGGACATTAGAAAGTGGTACCAAGAATATCTAAAATGCTGGATAATCCTGCTCTCCCAGGAAGACACCATCTAGGGGGAACTAGAGGACTAGGATGGAGCACTGAACTTTTTTTGTATTAAATTCTTTTTTTTCTTTCTTTCTTTCTGAAGCAGTTAACAAAATACTTTGTTATGCATAACGGAAAGAATTTATAGGCTCCTCAAAATGTTAATTCCTTGCCTATGTTCAGGAGGCTTCGGAGGAGGAAGAGGTGGAGGAAGAGGAGGCTTCAGAGGAGGAAGAGGTGGAGGAGGAGGCTTCAGAGGAGGAAGAGGTGGAGGAGGAGGCTTCAGGGGTGAGTGTGCAGTTGTTCCATTTCAGTAATAAAGACAGGTCCTGGTTTCTCAAACTTTTACATATTAAACAGAATGTAGCATTTTCTTTCCATCTGCTTAAAAGGGTTTACAGGTTGCCTAGTTTTATGCAAAAAGCTTCTGTTCATCATAGTAGCTATCCTAAACCCAAGTTCAGTATTTTGTATTTTTTAATATATATGTAAGGTCACTCGAGCTGTTACCTCAAAAAGATCTGTAAGAACAAATGTAATGATTCTGATTTCATTAACTCTTACTGTTTTGTGTATGAGTCGTTTGCTTTAAGACATGACTTGTTCAGTGTATTTTTTCTTCCCTTTTAAAATAGGGAGAGGATATTAAAAATGGAGCCACGAGTGTCTTCCTGCTGTCTTACCATATGATCTGCAGAGGTGAAGAACAGGATAAATTTTCTAGCAGACCCTGAAAAAGTGTTTATAAAGAACTTGAAACTGTAAAATGCCAATTAATGTTACATTTAATGACTATTTATCAACACACAAGGACAATATAGCAGCTGCTGAAGAATTGAAGACTGCTCAGAGTATACTGAACTTTTTAAACTCAGCCAAGATAATGCTGTTCTTAAACCGTTTCTTTTTTACAAACTATTTTAATTAATGCTTGACTTCATGGTGGCATGGTGGAGTTGCGAGTGAACAATCTGTTGATTCCTTTTTTTTTTTTTTAAACTCTGCAGGTTCTCTAAATACACATCTGTGAATCTGTTACCTATGTGGTGACTGATCCCTTGTTCTCATCCTCTCTTTATATTTAATCCACTGGGTTGCTGTACAGTGGACCTGCCATTTAAACAATCTGTATGAACCTTTATCTAAACTTCAAAAAACCAAAGGCATTATGACATATTTTTCTTAGAAGCTACTGTCTGTTGAATAATTTCAAGTTAATACTATTCTTCTAAGTCGCCTAAATAGTTGTGTCTGATTACACTGACGCTGAAATTGCTCAGGATTTTTCCTGTCTTAGCCTATTTCTCTGAGATTTTGGTGCCCTGGGAAAACACCATTGTGGTGCACTGAGCTTGCAGAGGTTTAGATCAAATAGCTTGCCATAGTTAGGGCTTCTCCACGCATGATGCTTTCAGTTAAGTACTCCCTAAAGGCATAAAAAAAGCGTGCATGAGCCTTCAGTGCAGGCTCTATTGTCTTTAATCAGATGCATTATGAGGAGTGTTGAAAAGCTAGTAACTATCTCTTTTTAAGGATGGAGAATGACAGGGTGCCTCTCTACTTGTTAGCTCTGAAAACATAAAAAGAATGGAAAAACAGAATCTTTCTCTCCAGATTTCATCTCAAGCAGTGAGTGTGTTGGTAGAGTCTTATGCTAAGCATTTTTGAAGAGATCTGTGGAATAATCTAAGTGATAGTATTTTGAATATCTTCAGTATGGAAGAAAAATGCATTTCAGATCTTGCTGTTACTTTTTTTTTTTTATTAGTGAACACAGGTGAAAAAGAGTTATGTTAGCCTTGTACTTAACAAAAAGAAAAAAATGAAAAAATTCTGGCTGTCTGTGCCAGAATTGGACAGTTGCTTGTTATTTTAACAAAAATGAGTGCTCATCGTGAATAATCCTTGGAACAAAACTTGAAACAAGTTAGAAAAACTGTTCAAGAATTCAGCTAGGAAGCCTAAACAGATACTACATAGGATAACATGTAAAATGTTCTTATGTTACAAGGAAAATGTTGAAAATTTTGCTAGGTCTGCTTTTATGAGAAGAAATACGTCTACTGTTCAACCACAGCAAAGTCGGGATTCAGGGGATACAGATTCTTTTCCTGATATTGTTGCAGACTTCAATTTAGTCGGGTCAGTTAAATCCAGACTGTTAAAGACGCTTAGACTCTTTGTTACTGTGCCTTGCTAGGCCTAAGTGACTTAGGCTATGATTTAATCTAGACAAAACCTTATGCAAGTCATTGTAGCTATTGTAAGCCACCTCTGGCATACTAAATTGCAGTCAAACAATACCAACCTGAAGTGAAGTCAGTCCTGCCTTCACTTTGTCATATTTGTAATTGTTTGCATCCTCTGCTGTGCTGCATTCCCCCCTGATGCTTCAGTGCCCAGTTGTGAGCGTGCGACTTAGATATTCTCTTATTCCCTTGGCTTGGAAGACTAAGATGATACAATCCTCACTCTTGTAACCAAACTCGTTCTCTGCATAGTTGTTCTTACTGCATGCTTCAGAGACATTTTCTCTCTGGGTATCGGAAGACTGCACTGGCATTGTCCTTCAATTGCATGGCCTGACAGCTGTCAGTATTAACTTGTGCCGTACCATGGTTTCAGCCTAGGACCAAAGCATGTGCTATAAATCTCACAGCAGGTGGAGCTGTGAGTCATACTCAAGCCTGGAGCCCTTGCAAGGCCAAAGCAAAGACTTTCACATCTCTATTGCAAGGAGGTAAAGAACTGTATTGTCCATTGTAGCTGTAGAGGGAAGATCTGTCTCTGATAACAGGAAATTGAACTGTATTATGTGACTATCTAGTCCTAGCTGAGAAACATGAGGAGCGTTATGGTATGCCTTACACCTGCAGGGGACGTTGGATGAGGAGAACACAAATACACAGAGATCATTTGTTATCGTACGTCCTTGTGGAGGTAGGTAAAAGGGCATTCTGATGCTGGTGGAAGAAAGTCCTTAGTGACTGGGCCTGAAATGAGCTACCATTTAGGGAGACGGTGTACAGTCAGGTATGGTGATGTCTGCCTCAGCTCCCCACCCCTGAACCCCAAGATGCTGGGGAAGGATGAGCTTTTGGTTTTAGCATGGCCCGTCCATCCTTGTTTTGCATTACCTTTTCTGTACCATGACCTGACCCTGCCCTCAAACTGTTAGTAGTTGCTAGGTGTAATAGAGACATGCAAATGTAGTGTCTTACAAAATTTAAGAAAACGACATCTGACTTGTCCACTATGTAACGTTGCAGTGGACTAAAATACAGGTTCTCTAATGACTGGGAGAAAAAAAATATATATATATAAAAAAAAAAGTTTGCTGGCAGAACTGTGACACGTGATCTTCTGTTGCAATGATGACTGAATGTCCTGACTGAATAAGTGGCGTATCAAAATTTTCATACCTTCAGATTCAGACGAGTGAAAGGTACAGGATGTCTGTCTTGAAAAGCTGAGGAGCAGGAGGGAAAGCTCTAGGAGTGTTTCATGGACTGGAGATGGGAGTAGCTCTTCAGGTATACCTCCTTTTTATGGGATGGCTGTATTGCTTCACAGTCCTGGTGTCAGTACAGCCTTACTGCTGCTCACAAAACACAGCCCTAGCCTGGGAGCCATACTTGAGCTGCATGTGAACCACATAGAGCTGAAGAACCGCTGGTTGCTCCTCCTTGTCACTTTCGTACCCTTTATAAGTACAAAGTCGGAGACAACTGTATAAAGGGGAACTGGTGGTAAACACCTTTGATTACTTACTAATGCTGCATGTAAGGTCTTTGGGTGAGGGTTTATTGCAGCTAATATTTATACAGGACTTTGTAAAAGGCTTTTTCAGTCTAGCTCCCGTGTGCTGCAACATCATTGTTGAAAAGAGGAAGACAAACTTCTGCTCAAGCTTTGCAAACAGCCTTATAATTACTGTCCAGTAAAATGCTTAGGAGAAGTTTTCCAAAGTGAGCTTACCTATGTATGTTTTGGAGAGGGAGGGGGTTCAAACTTGTGAGGCATGTTCAATGCTTGTTTTCTGCAGACCAGACTGTTTTAAAAATCTAATAAGTGGGTTTTTCAGTAGTTATGCTTCGCTCTAGAAAATACTGGACTGTATTTTTTCTTGTCTGGTATCAGTTGAATTGTTTCAAGTTACTAAACTAACAATGAGTCTTAAGAGTTTTAAGAGGAAGTAGGCCCCTTAATAATTGAAGGGATGGATTTTAGAGTAACCATGTCCTGCTTTTTGGAGAAATTAGCATTTTTGTTTCTATGTTGTGCTGTGGTTGTGTTCTCTGTGGTGATTAGAATTAATTCCAAACCAGGCTGATGACCAAACGACTTGAGCCAATTTTCACTGAAAGCATTGTATAAGAGGTTTGAAGTAAAAAGTCTGGGGGCATGTGACAGTTAATCTCTTTAGCAGTAAGCATGGAGTTTAAGCATCTTGTTGGAAACTACTCAGTTCTGTGCTGCTCTTTGTTTTAATTAACAAGCTTCTCCTACATAGATTGGGAGTGTAAACTTCTTTGCGCTTTAGTCCAATTAAAAATTGTTTGGAGACCGTCAGTGGAAAAGGGTGCCCCCCCCCCCCCCCCCTTTTTTTTTTTAAATTGTTCAGTGTGTCTGTTGAATAGTGAAAGAATTTGCCTGACAGAGTTTTGTAGTGTTTTGTCTGCTTGATGAATAACCACAGAGGTTAGGCCGCAGTCTCTTGTCCAGTATGCTTTTGAGTGATTCGGCCAACTCCTCAGAAAGTGACAATGAAGCTCATTCAGCCTTTACACAGACTGAGCACAACATAGTTGCAGCTTACTTAATAACAGCAGGTATGGGCATTAGCAAGTTCTTGCATTTCTTTTCTTAAACAGAACTGTGTATTTGAATGCTAATTTTGTATGGTAACAGTGGAATTTCATTTTGTATTACACAAATATCTAATGGCTTTTCTCTGTAGCTTACTGGCAACTCGGTAACCAGCAGGCTGACTGAAGTGTGCAGAACCATTACGTTTTCGGCTGTATACTTGAAGGCAGTGTGCTGTGTTGAAAAACATATTTTGTTGATATGTAATTATAGAAGAGAGTGAGAATTAATTTCTGCCAGCTTGCAAAAGAGATAAAAATAGGACATAGCTGCCACATCTTGCATTTTTCAGTGATGTGCTTGAAGCTATCTTGAGATTTCTCTTGGGCCACATGTTCATAATAATATATGTATAGTCTGAGCATGTGAGCAGTGTCTGCTAGGGGGATGTAAGGGGAAGGGTTGGAATGTGACTTAGAGGGAGCAGGCTGGTCATTAATCAGAGAGAAGAGGAGACTCCAGTTGCAGTTGTATTTTTCACTGATGACACACGTTGGAAAAAGCACGCTGGAGGGCTTGACGTCATGTGTTCCCTTTGACTGTAATGGCCTTCAGCTAAGGCTGGAATGACTGTGGAATAATTTTTTTTTATTGAAAACTTTCTCCTTGTTACAACTGCAGCTGCTTTGGAAATGTTTTTTTGAAGCATTGACTGCTACACCAATGAAATATCTTGAAACAAATACTGTAACCTACTGTGTTTAAAAATAGGCCTTCTATACCCTTTGGATTGAAAATTAAATCAATTTACAAATACTTTATTCATAGACTGTATCATACATTTAGGGTGCATTTTCTGTGTTAGAAGTAGCTTTTGAAATACTACCAAATATTCATCTGCTTAAGGCATATAGGTAATAACATTGATGGTCACATTTTATTTAGAGAAGCTATTTGAAGTGGTAAGTATCAAATCTTCTGATGAAGAGCATATTTTTAAATGCAAAGCCAGTGATTTAATTCTTTCAGGTTTTTAGGGAAATTTGTCATTGACTGAATACCAATCAGTAGGCTTGCTGAGAAGCTGTGGAGATGGATGATGGGCAAATATTAAAAGACTAGACACGCTCCACAGTACTAGTAAATTATTTGCAAGTAAGTGCATCTATTAGGCACCCCAAATATGCGTGGTACTTGTTTATATTTTAATTCAAATTGATTACATTGATATGTAACGAAGTGGTCTTTTTCAAATGGTCGGATTGTCTGGCGTTAGGGATCAGAGTTGTCACTGGTGATAAATGGGATTAGCCAGACCCAACCAAGCTCTCCTTTCTTATTTTGCATATAAATTATTATTATTATTATTATTATTGTTAGAAGTGAAGGGATTGGATTGCTGTTATTATAAGTTGAGGAGTCTAGTAAAACTTTCAGCTGTAGTTTGGACCTTGCTTTCTTAATGAGGAATGTTTTTGACAGTAAGGTCTATATCATCTTTGAAAATATGATTGTTTAGTTTGCAAATGCCTTAGCAGGGCAAATAGATCTCACATCTGGAAGATTTCAATTGTATTAATAACTAGATATCTGAGAGAATGAAGTACAGATACAGCGGTGGTCATTATGTTGCTTTTCAAACAGCTTGAATTCTTCATTGTTTGCAAATAATTGTTTTGTTTTCTGAGAAGGAAGCCGCTGCTAAAGTATCACTGTCTATAGGGATCGATGTATAATTTTAGTGATGACCAGAGGGATACTCAGACTGCAGGAAGCGGTGCTGCTTCGCTGATAGCCTTCAGCTTGTAATGAGGTGCTCTGGAATAATTTTTAAAAGCTAGCCGGAATAGTAAATTCCGTATTATGCATGAATTCTGCTTCATTGTTTTGATGCTACTACCAGTGTGTTCTGCTTTATTTTGTTAGGGCTTGTATTTGCATCTGGTCTCCTTTTAGTTTTCTGTGCTTCCCTGGGAAGAAGTAAAATGAGAAATTCTTCTGTGCTTGACCAGGGCATACATAGAAGGTTTTGTCTTGATCTTTGCAAAATCAGAGTTTAAAATGTAAATTCTTATCTAACCCTAAAATGTTTCACAGGCCAGGTAGCAACATCCATGTGATTTATTTATTTATTTATTTATTTTTGAATTGGATGAGTTTTTCCTAGCTGTTGGTATCAGGTTACTAAAAGTTTTGGGCTCTCTCCGTGCACGCCCTGACCTCTAAGAAATGGGCGCTGGTTATCTGCTGCCTGGAGAAACAGCTTTTTTGTTCTACTTGACCCTCTCACAAATAGAGCAGGGAACATTTCTTGAATCTGCATGTTTTTCCTCGCTTTATTCAAGATGAAATCTATCTTCTTTCTCCCACTGTGCTCACCAGAACTCTTTTTGGCTCTGCTATTAATTTGTCTTGGTAGAGCTGGAATCTTTAATGAATATAGGCTAGCACTTCCTCTTCCTGGTTCTTTTCTTCTTTTTAAGATTGGGCTCTGAAGCACCAAATTCACACAGAATCACAGAATGGTTGAGGTTGGAAGGGACCTCTGGAGATCATCTAGTCCAACCCCCCTGCTCAAGCAGGGTCCTCCAAAGCATATTGCCCAGGATCGTGTCCAGATAGGTTTTGAATATCTCCAGCGAAGGAGACTCCACTACCTCTCTGGGCAACCTGTGCTCCGTCACCCTCACAGCCAAGAAGTTTTTCCTCAGGTTCAGATGGAACTGCCTGTGTTTCAGTTTGTGCCCGTTGCCTCTTGTCCTGTTGCTGGGCACCATGGAGAAGAGTCTGGCCCCATCCTCTTGACACCCCCCCCTTCAGAAACTTGTTCCCATTGATGAGATCCCCCCGCAGTCTTCTCTTCTCCAGGCTGAACAGGCCCAGCTCTCTCAGCCTTTCTTCGTAGGAGAGATGCTCCAGTCCCCTCATCATCTTTGCAGCCCTCCGCTGGACCCTCTCCAGTAGGGCCATGTCTCTCTTGTCCTGGGGAGCCCAGAATTGGACACAGTACTCCAGGTGAGGCCTCCCCAGGGCTGAGTAGAGGGGCAGGATCGACCTGCTGGCAACACTCTGCCTAATGCAGCCCAGGATCCTGTTGGCCGTCTTGGCCACAAGGGCACATTGCTGCCTCATGGTTAACTTGTCCACCCGGACTCCCAGGTCCTTCTTGGCAGAGCTGCTTTCCAGCAGGTCAACCCCCAGCCTGTACTGGTGCATGGGGTTATTCCTCCCGAGGTGCAGGACCCTGTGCTTGCCTTTGTGGAACTTCAGGAGGTTCCTCTCCGCCCACCTCTCCAGCCTGTCCAGGTCCCTCTGAATGGCAGCACAGCCTTCTGGTGTGTCAGCCACTCCCCCCAGTTTAGTATCCTCAGCAAACTTGCTGAGGGTGCACTCTGTGCCTTCCTCCAGTCACTGATGAATACATTGAACAAGACTGGGCCCAGGACTGACCCCAGGGGACACTGCTAGCTACAATTCAAGTGAGGTTAGCAGGATCCTTCTTTGCCCTGAAGATATGAGTTTACAGTGCTATTGTATTTCTGGTTTCATTCCTGGTACTATCTGTTAAAACATATATCAGAAAGCTCATACTATTGTATAAAGTTGTAATTCTAGTTTACTTCAGCTCTCCTAGGAGATGACATACTACCTATCAACAGGAGAGCTGACAGAGGTGACGGTGAGAGTGCTTTTACTATGTTATTTGTTTTGTGTCAGATCCCCAGCTCCCTCCTTTCACTTGTAGCAAGTCATAGCATCACGGTGTCATTCGTAAAATGTGTACAATATGACAGTTGATGGTGTTCATGGAGCTGTGCACCATCCAACATCTTTTTTGTAGTGCAGTTTGTGTGCTGTGCAGGAGATTTGAAAATCCCCAAGCTTGTCTGTTCTCAGGTAGAAAAGAGAATGAAAATGAAATACAGCTGAAAATCATTTCTCCTCGTTTGGTTTTAAGACTGCTCAGTCTGTTAGAGTTTCTGTTGTGTAGGAGAGTGGTACCGATTAATGAAACATCGCAGTGAAACTCCTTAGGTGAGGTACAGGTATAACAAAAACTGTACTAATTACATAATTGAAATGGATGAACTCCATTTAAAAGCTGAAAAATTGGTATCATTGCCAGTGTCCATTATACAAGGTATTGTATTTGCTGTTTTTTTGTGTATGTTACTACAATTACATTGGTTTATCTTCTGCCCATTTTCGCATCTGTTTCACATGATTAACATGGCTCTTGCTGAACGTAGTTGTTCAGATAAAGAAATGGTACTGATATGTATTTGATTCTAGAAAAGTCTTACAGCCTCAGTTTGATGCACTGGGGTGTGTCCTGGTACTTGAAATCTATGCATAGTGTTCCCATGCACTGCCAGTGATGGCCTTTGCAGGAATTTCCTTATTGACCCTAGTGGAAGTTTTTGAAATTCAACTGTAGAGCTAAAGTGCCTGAAACTGATGACCGCTCTCAGGTTTTCTGACCCTGCTGATTTGAGGTGGTTGTTTGAACTGCAGTGAAACTGTAGTCTGAGTGTAAACTGACATTAGAGATTTTTAACACTATGCTCCAGCACTGACAGTGGCAGAGAGGAAAAACATTACATAATACTTAGAAATGTTATTGCCATTTCCATACAGGCATGTCAGCAAAAGCTTAGGAGCATGTGTCAGGACTTGGTGGAGCAGGTAAAAGAGCAGAAATCGCATCAGCGGGGTGAGAGGGGTATAGGTGGCCACAAAGTGAGGTGTGCAATGACTGTGAAGAAAGGTGGGGCTGCTTTGGGAAGTCCAGAGTTGCAGAGGAATAAGTTAGAAAGGCTGGTGTCATTGCCTTTGTCTGTTCTGAGGCCAAGGCAGCTCAAAGGGACTTAAAAATACGCAGATCACTAAGTCAGGAGCAATGCTCCAGTGCATTGCTGGACTTTTAGCATGGCTATGAGATAGCCCTAGAGCTTGGAGCATGTCAGCTGAAGGAAATGATTCTCGTGCAGCAGAGGGTCACAGCTGTGCCACAATGGCAGGCTATGGGGATGGGCAGGCAGCTTGACAGGGCTTAATGTTTTTAAAAAAAACACAGTTTGCAGCAACATGAGCCAACTTTGCTTGTAAAGAGTTGGGCTGCCGTGAACAGAGAGGGAAATAGGTCTGGCCAGGATGGAGGTAGCAAGGTCAAAGCATAATGACTGATATTCTATATTCCTTTCACCCAGGAATACTGCTTTTACCTGAATGCACGGTGGAAACTGTCCTGAGAGAAAGGAGAAACTAAGATGGTGATAGAGGGGTTTTTGCTAGACCTGGTGAATCTGTATAAAAGTCCAATAACCCCGCTCTTTATCAGCTTGCTGGCCTGCATTCTTTTTGGCCACGTAAGGCAGAAAACTGTACTCAGTGGCTGAAATTTCTAAGTTGCAATCTTAAATACTTCTGAATGTTTGCTATTCCCTATTGCCATTGTATAGGAAGTCCCAGGTTCAGCAAAGCAACCCACTAGTACCTTGGGCCCTTACTAAATCCAAGTGCAAATTCTCTAATTGGAATTTCTCTCTTTCTTGGACGTCTTTTGTCTTTATGGAATTGCATTTGATTAAAATAAAACTTGTTCGGGACTTAGATACTACAACAGGCTGCACTTTATTTTGCATGCATATTGCTGGCTTAACTGCATCTTTTGTAAAGTTCCCCTTTTTCTGTGTTCCTGCAGGAGTGATAAGCATTTTCAGTAACATTGTTGTGTTATGCATCTTCGTTAAGTACAAAGAACTTCGAACAGCAACCAATGCGATTATTATTAACTTGGCTTTTACTGACATTGGTGTTAGTGGCATCGGTTACCCCATGTCTGCTGCCTCAGACCTTCATGGAAGCTGGAAATTTGGATATACTGGATGCCAGGTATTTCAGTTCAGTCGGGGAGGAAGTTTTAAGTGCTTAAAAGCAAACAAAGAGATAACAGTAGCCCTGCTTGATATTTTGTCCTTTTTAGAAATGAGGTGGAGGTGCAAAAATTTGACTCTGGACCTGAAACTGACTTTCTTTAAAGTCAGCAATTTTTGAATGTAGGATTTGGTTTGGATTTCACCATAAATTTGTCATTTAAAATCTGAAAGCATTGAAGTATAACCTTGTACTTATCAACTAGAGATTTTAATATAGCTTTAAGAAATGAACTCCTCAAACGAAAAATGTTTTAGATAGCACGTGTTTATTTGATGTAATAATAATCAAGAGTTCCCAAGTGGTAGTTGTTTTATGAGTTCTTCCTGATGAATACGTCGTCTTTGAGATGTGACTCTTAAGATTATCAAAATGAAGACCTGCAAAACTGGCATTGAAAATCTGATCTGGTTTTAACAGCTGTCTATTTTTAAAAGTTATTAGTGGAAAAATTTGACTTCTGTAGGAGAAATATAATACCATTTGCTTGCTATATGTGACAATTTAAATCTATGTCTTAACAGACTGGTGGGCTTAAGAGGCCAGGAAAATGAGTATTATAAAGGCATACACTGTGAATGTTACTCAAGGAAAATGTGAGTAACACGATAGATTCTTGGGCCTGTGTATAATGTCGGGTGTTTATAACAATCTGACATCACTTACTTGATTGCACAATTATTTTGAGCTGAAAAGTCAGCTATTGTTTGACAGGAAGCCTGACTTTAATAACTTTGGATCTAGAGTGACTGCATTTGTGGGCTGAAGTTGATGTGAAATCTCACTACGAATGCTTTGGGAGCTCTTAAGATCATACAAAGCACAGCTCAGGCCAACGTAAACCAAGTAAATCCTTTGAACTGAGACAGCAGAGTGTCACATGTTTCTGTTTTAACCACTTGTGGCACGTGACCTGGCACAAGGATCTGTCTTTTGGGAGTGCCAGTGGCACTCCCAGTCCTCCCAGTCACTGTTCCTGGTCAGGTTGCCTAGGGGACAACTGAGCAGGTGCTTTTGGATCGTGCTGGGATTTCAGCACGTGTGCCGTACCAACACTTTGTGCACTAGCAATAGATCTGGCACCATGTAAAAGAGGAAGTCAATGGGGAAAATCCGTGCGCTATATCTGCAAAATAAGTGTGGTAATATGACAGAGGGAAGGGTGCGTGCTAAGAACCCTGCGTTTGCCAAAGCCATACCAAATTCTAACTTTTTATGATGAAACAAATACAGTTCATGTTTCTCTAACATGCATTGAAAACAAGAATTGAAAAAACCCACAAACTCCAAACCCTTTACCCCTGAATCCCAGAATTTACTTAATTCATGTGTTTGCTTTTTAGACCATGTCTTTAGGGTTGCTGATGTACATGCAAGCCAGCTGCTTTTAAAATATTTAATTTGAAATTAGCTAACTCCAAATTGCCTGCATTGAATTAGTTCATTCAGTACCTTGCTAACAGAAGAGAATACAGACTGAATGTAGTGTACTGTAGTACTTTAGATTCAGTCCACAAACTTGGGATTATACCTTTGAAGGATTTCTCAGAAAGGATGTGTGTGTGGTTTTGTTTGTTTGTTTTTGTTTGTTTTTTTTTATTTCAGATCTATGCTGCCTTAAATATCTTTTTTGGGATGGCAAGTATTGGTTTGCTTACTGTTGTTGCAGTTGACCGTTATCTGACCATCTGCAGACCTGATATAGGTACTGTATTCTTGATTAAAAAATCATTCACTGGTTGGCTTCCGTGAACTGTCAGTCTAGTTGTATTGTTTTCTTATGAATACGTTAATTGAAGTACTGGGCATACTTTTAAATTAGGGCATGATCCTGCAGTACTTACTAAGTGCATACTCTAGTTATGTGAATGGTACTGCTTTTGCAGGTGAAAATTAAAGATTTGGGCTGTTCTTTTGTCTTTTTTCATCCATTTGAAAGCTGTATTTGCCATATTCACCTATTAGAAGGCCCTACACGTATGTAGAAGCACACCAAAAGCCTCCAGCTGCGGGATGTTTCTGATGGCTATCAGATCAGGCTGATGTGCGCCTCCAATATTGTGTTAGCACCATACGGGATTTTTTTCATTCCTGCCTGTTACAGCTGTGCTATAACTGTTAATTCCTTCTCCCCCCACCTTTTTTTTTTTCCCTTTTTCCTTTCCTGTGAGCACAAAGATGATAGTTCATGAATGCACTGTTGTATAGTAAGCTAAGTTCTTTTTAATGTGGGATTAAGATCAGATATTATCGATATGCTTTGAGTTGGGATAGGTGATGGTATGAAATGCATTTGAATTGGAAAGCTTGACATCATTCATCAGCAATATGAAACAGATATACTACAGTGTTTGGGAGTGTAGTCCTCTGAAAAGATTGTTACCATTAGTATGGTACAGGCTTGTTGGAACCCACTTGTGGTTCAAGTTCAATGTTGGAAAGAAACAAAAGATGACACCAGTTTGTGATTGTCTGTGTTTGGCTGCAGGAAGAAGAATGACTACCTGTAACTATGCTACTCTAATTATTGTTGCTTGGATAAATGCAGTCTTTTGGGCCTCCATGCCTACTGTAGGCTGGGCTAGCTACGCTCCCGATCCAACTGGAGCAACATGCACAGTAAATTGGAGGAAAAATGATGCGTAAGATTTCCCCCCTCCTTCTTTCTGTTTTTTAAATTTGCTATCTCATTGAAGGTTAAGATTATTTAATTTACTACTACAAGATTAACTTTTTTTAAGAAAGTTAAAGTATGAAGCCAAGATTATATAGTAAGAAAAAAAAATCATTTGAAAACCATGAAAATAACACAGAACAAGTCTAGGGAAAAACTGTAGGAAAAGAGCCATGCTTGAAAACTGCAAAACTTGAGGATGCTAATAAACACTAAGGCTAAGGAAAATTTTCTTAATTCTTTAAAGACTTTTTTTTTTTAATTTCATAAGCAATCAAATCAAAATATCAAATCCTGTAGTAACTTTTCATGGTTGCATAGTTGTAAGTTACCTTAGTGTTTAGTGGTTTTTTTTTTCTTTATTTTTTGTCTTATCAGGTCCTTTGTTTCCTACACGATGAGTGTAATTGCTGTTAATTTTGTTATACCCTTAACAGTCATGTTTTACTGTTATTACAATGTTTCCCGGACAATGAAACAATATGCCACCAATAACTGCTTGGAGAGCATCAATATAGACTGGTCTGACCAAGTAGATGTAACAAAGGTATGGCAAAGGAAGGCTGTTCCTTTCTAAGCATGTTCTTTTGTGTGAAAGTCTGGAGGCAAAGGAGCAATGCAGCATTTTAAGCATTTTTCTGCATTCCTCTTTTTCCTTCTTACTTACTAAATATTAACTGAAATTTATCTGGGGTGAAAATTCTTGACTTGATTCTATAACACTAGATTCCTTGCTTTCACCATAATACCCTTGCCAGACAAATAGCTGCACTGAAAGCCAGGAACAGTGCAAGTATTCCCTGTTTCTGTCCTCCCTCATCACACAGAAATGCAAGTCACAGATATCCTAGGAGGATTGTCTAAGATATTTTTACTTTTTGTGTCTGCAGAGTCCTTGGGCTTTCCTGCTAGTTTCACAGCTGTCTCTGTTCAGAAATGATTTGGTCAGCCCTGGTTTGAACTCATGACCTAGACATGAAAGGGTGTTGCCAAACTCCTGATCTCTGTGATTTTCTGATCCCTTGTATTTTTCAGAGTCTACTAAGCTTCTCTCTTTTTGTATGTAGACATTAGCAAATGTGAATTAATGGCATAAAATGGTATATCCTGCCCAGAAAGTCAGCAATGTATAAGAGTCCATGAAAAAGCTTCAAGTTCAGTAGCTGCTTTGATTTTTGTGTAAAGATATGATTTATAGTTGGGCATGGGGGGGACAAAAACAACAGGAGAAAATTAGGCAGAACAGCCTGCACTTATGTTTTTGGATTGCTTATTAAGTCAAACGTCATATTTCTTGGAGAAGGTTCTCTTGGTTATATTCTGAAAAAATGATATTTTTTACCTGACAGGTAATAATTGAGGATTTTACACTTCTGAAATACTTTCAGAAGGCTTTAAACTCAGGAGTCTGTCATTAGTTCAGACCCACATTTGTGAAGAAAATGCATCTTTCCTGTTTTACAGTTGAAGAGAGAGTAATATTAAAAAAAAAAAAATTGAATTTGACTTCAGAGGTAAACACTACCCTTCCTTAGAATTGGATTGCTTGCTTTTTCACAAATTAGCATTTGTAAGCGTCCTAGGCACCAAAGACGAACTTCTAAATGAAGATGATTCTTTCATTCTTTCATGCAAGAATCACTTTTTATAGATACTGCTTTTGCATTTTCATAGGAATCTTCTGTAGAGAGACTCATAGCTTGTTTATTGGCTATGCTCCAGAACAACTCCAGCAAAGTAATTATTTCTCTTTTCTAATCTTGTCTGTCACTGGAAGAAAGAATATGGGCACAGGTGAACAACACTAGAGAAATCTTTTACATATGAGGAACCGTGCAGTTTTTTTTGTTTTTATACATACATACATATATACAGATATGTGTATGTATATATTTTTTGGTGATACATTTTGTCCTCTTAATTTGATGTTTGTGTTCCAGTTTGTTATTGATTCACTTACCAGACAAAAGCTGGAAATGTTTGTCCTAATTGATTCTTCTTCTGCCCTCCTTTTGCTCCCGCCTCAGTTTGTCACTGCTTGGTGTCACGCTGTGTCCTGGGGTCTGTGTGCATGTGTGTGGTTGTGTGTTTTTGTGTGTGCATATGCCTCTCAAGTATATTTTGAAAGGGAATCTGTCATTCCAGGAGAACATCGTATGTTCAGGTAGCAGTTTATTGTATTTTCTTTAGAAGGGTCAGGGAGTAGATTTCAGGTTGTTTATGCCCAAGGATAAACCAAAGGCAGTAGCTAGGAAGTGGTTAAAGGTGGTGTATGTAAAAACTGGTATCTTCTCTGAGTTGCATGATGTGGACTAACTGACCATTTTCAAATATGACAATTTCTTTTCTTAAAGATAGATAGCCATCCTCTGGTGGATATAATCAGAGCTCTTCAGATGTATGTGATAATAAAAAAACAAATACAACTAAGGTAATATGCACTTTGGAAGAGAAGATTTGTTGATGGCATGCAGTGAATTTCCAAGTTAGAAGTATTAGGTGGTCATGATTCGTGTGCAAAGTCCCTCTCAAGCCCTTTTAATGTTTGCTGGGCACACTCAACATAATCAATAGTGCTGATTGTGAAGTAAGAGTGTATATAATGAAATAATAGCATGTCAAAATACATGGCAGTGTCATGTACTATATATAAAATCCCCAAAGTGAAATTTAAATATAACCTGTCAAAATTAGTCAAGGCGTACTGCTTGTGTTATTTTTAAGCTATTTGATTTTATATAGCTATATTTTCACACAAGTGCATACACATTTGTGGTTAGGCTGTGAGATGTTCATCTGCATGTAATACCAGTAATGCTCTTGTTTTACAGATGTCTGTTGTGATGATTGTGATGTTCTTGGTGGCATGGTCTCCATATTCTATTGTGTGTTTATGGTCTTCCTTTGGAGACCCAAAGAAAATTTCTCCTGCCATGGCCATCATAGCTCCTCTGTTTGCCAAATCTTCCACATTCTATAATCCCTGCATTTACGTTGTTGCAAACAAGAAGTAAGTGTTCCTAGTTTGAACTAAGAGTACCGGTCTACTTCATGGCCTTTTGGGCATGAAGAAATTGTTTGGATCAGCTTCAGAACACGTTAAATTGATAAAGATTTTTGGTAACACATCAGTGATGCTTTTGTTAGATATCTTTGCAAGTCATTTTGTGGTCTCTCATGAGGGACTCATTGTGGAATTTGGGTTGCATCGGTGGTAGACTGGTTGTTTTTAATGACTGGCCAAAATATTTGACGACTTAGTAATTGTAACTTCTGTGGATTTCCTTGCTTGATTTGAGATGTGCCATAGTCTGACTTGCTTAGGATGGATTGATACTTTCTATTAAAATAAGTAAGTAAACCCTATTCTTTCTACCCCCAAATAATTCTATTGTTGTTTGAGCAAACATATCATATGCGCTAACCAAACCAGTGCCTCTGACTGAAAACTGTAGATTTTGGAAAGAGGCATCCTTCCTTTCTCTACCACCAACCTACAAGCAGAGCCTGTGATCTCCATCCAGGTGAGCTGATCTGATCCTGCTGCGTCAGTGAAAGTCTGGCTTCTTTCCCCACCCCCCGTCCTGTAAGTTTACCTTTGTCATGGCTGTACCCTGTCCTGCGCTAAGCAAAACCTGCTGTGACCCCTCTTGTAGAAGAAACACTGAACGTGATTGAGTTATTTCTGTACATAGGAGTGAAATAAGACTTGAGTCTTTCTAAATTTCAAATACATGCTTTTTCCTGATGAAGTTTTGCTAAGATTGAATACTGTCATAATACTTAAGACTAGCTGAGCCACTTTTTCTTTATATTTGCTTCTCTGACTAACAATCTCTGCTTTCCCTTTTTTGTCCTTTGCAGGTTTCGGAGGGCAATCCTGGCAATGGTGCGATGTCAGAGAAGACAGGAGATAACTATAAACAATGCCTTGCCCATGAGTGTGTCTCAGAATGCATTGACATCATAGAACTTATTTCATTTGCCTGGATATGTTAAATGGAAAGAAGTCAAATCTGGGTTACAGTTAATCATTTGGTATAATAATCTGTCTCATCCAGCCAGCTGTTTTCTGTTAATCACAGTAATGTTTTAGATGGTTTAAAAACAAAACAAAAAAAAAAAGATTAGACTTCAGTTTCAGGGAATGAGGCTAAATGGCCTAGTGTGTCTGTTCCAAACAAAAAAGGCCAGTCAGGTGTTCACTGGACTCTTGGACAAGGTGAGACAGGGAAGGGAGAGACTAAAGCAGGACATGCTTACCTTCAGTAACAAAGATTTTGCTCCTGTAATTTCTTTTGTAAATGACTTGCCCTCAATTTCCCTTTAAAGTTTCCAGGTTTTCAGTACTCTGGATTCTCCCTTTGTGTGTATATACAAGTAGACACATACACATATAGATGTATATATAGCTAAACTGAATTTCCAGACTGACATACCTTGCAAAGTTCTGTTTCAGTGAGTATGTTAAGATATCAGAATATCTAGCCAAACCCTGGAGAACTTGTTTTTAGCTTTCAGGATTTTACAGGGGTTTTGTGATAGTTAATGAATTTTTAAAGTCTTGGCTCACAGAATCAAATGAATTTGTGGGAAAGATGGCTTTGCTTTAGCAATAGTATATTTCTGCCGTTTGTGACTGCACAGAAAGTCTTGAAAATGAGACAAAGTGCACTCTAAAATGTGACACCCAGAAGGCACGTAAAATTGAATTGGGTTTGTTCAGCATAGAAGGAATGACTGTTTATAGATCTATATATGGATGGTAGCATATGCACTGTTGATTATTCACAGGTTTTGAGAATAAGTATCTTCTAATTTACCAGTCCGAAGTCTCAGTGATCCTTCAGACAAATTTAATCCACTGTGACTTTATACAGCTAAAAGCTACTCAGCTCTCTGGGTTCTCTTTCCTCTAAGACCTCTAATGTCTGTCTGAAGGGATGCCACTTTAAGTAGTACAGTCACTCTGGAATGCTAAATGTTCAACTTAACTTACATCAAATATGAAAAAGCAAAATCAGATAATATAATTCATTCTGAGATACCCAAAACAGCTTGGAAAATAAATCTTTTAGAATGTATATTTTAAGTCTCACTGGGTCATGTTAACTTCACACAGTTTTTAAGTATGATTTGCACCAGCAAATGGTTTCTGTGACTGTATTTTGATATTATTAAAGTGATGTATGCATATATCTGAAGTTTGGCTTTGCAGTGTACAATTATTATTTAAAATATGTAAGTTTTTGGTTAGACTTCTGAAAATGGAATTTTTAAAAGCTCTGAAATCTAGCCTTTCTGTTAATTTGTAATTTTTAGTATTAAAGTAGTTGCCATACAATATTCATCTTGTGAAAGTATTTTCTAGTGCTCTGTTGAAGTACTTGCTGTAGTAGATTTCCTTCAGGGTCCTTGGAATACTTTATGGATGTTTAGTAGCTATAACATTGGCCCTCAGAAGCAGCAAAGAGGTATTTTATTATGTACTACCTCTGTAGTTACAACTGCATATTAAAATAGTCTTGAAACACGTTGGATATAATTTGGAACAGAATGTGTTCTTCTGATACAACAAAGAACAAGCTGGTTTAGCTGATCCCTTTCAGGATACATTTGAAGGTTAAGTAACTACAGATCTTGGCTAATCTGATGTAATCTGCTGTTACTAAATGGATGTCTACATTCACGTTCGTAGCATACTGCACACGAGCACCTGGAAATAAAGTTTTCAAATTTGTTCGTATCTATTTTTCTGGGAAAGGAGCCATGTATCTGTTTACATGCTTATACCTCATAATGAGCTTTTTTGAAGAAGTACATGGTTTTTGTCCTTCGCAATGCACTTGCATTTACCATGGCAGAAGTGATGGCACTGGAACAAGGTATACATTTTATTTCCTATACAAAGCAATTTATAAGGAAAAGAGCTGTTATTGAAAATAACATCCTCTGACACGTTGCAAACTACAGTTTAGTATAGTTGCTTAGAAATAGTGGCATGTTTTACACCACTGGTTTTGTATTTAGCAGCTGGCTACTCTTAATTGTCTTTTTTAAGTGTAGAGGACTGTTCTTGATTTGACATTCTTTATTTTACCAGTAGTATTGAATAAAGTAATAGCATTTGCATTGAAATCTGAAATACAAATTTCTGATAATGAAATGCAAATCTCTCTTTTTTGATGCCAGATCTGTGCTCTGTAATGATCCTGATATGTTTGAGATCCCTGTGAATGTTCCTGTGGATACTGTAAAACTTCGTATAGAAAAAACTGTCGTACGAAGGATCCCAACTGAAGCCTTTTACTATTTAGTAGATCTGAAATACCTGTGGGTAACTTACAACTGTGTAGCTAACATTGATACCAGCAGTTTTTATAATTTGAAACAACTGCATGAGTTACGGCTGGATGGTAACCTGCTCTCAACTTTCCCATGGGAATCCCTGGCAGAGATGCCCAACCTACGTACTCTTGATTTACATAACAATAAAGTGACCAGCATTCCAGCAGATGCCGGGAGGTACCTGAGAAACCTCACCTACCTGGACTTATCCAGCAACAAGCTAACCACCTTGCCATCAGACTTAATGGACCTTTGGCCTCCCTTCTCAGAAGCTGCTCCATCCAAGAATATAGACATGCTGGCAACACAGAGAGTCATTTTGGGTATGTTTAAGAACCTATCTCATTCCTTATTAAAATGTACATAAATATTAACTTGCAAAGTAAAGCAGGTAGGGCACTAGCCTGGGATTTAGGAGAGTGGGTTTTAAGGCAGTGGCCTCAGAGTATGTTGTTACTTGACTTTTATAACCCTGAGGAAAAAAAGCTATTGGATTCCTGTCTATAGGAATAAAGGACATAAGGAATATTGAATATTCAGACAAATGTAGGACTTCAGGAAAAAAAATATATATATATTTCAGATGAAATTTCCCCCATCACTGTATGTGTATGGCTGCAAACACAAGCTTGTCCCTTTAGGGCTGGTTTTCCCCATGGTTCACAAGCTGAATGATTAGGGTCAAAACTCTTATGAAGGCCTCTCCTGAAATATAGTGTTGCAGACTGCATTGGTGATTCAAGAGATGGCAGCTTGCCTCTCCCCATGACTCTTGTTGACTCTGTGTTGCTCTAAAGCTGACTGATTATCCTGATCTCTCCCCCCTCCCCCCAATTTACATGATGAAAAATGAGAGGAAGAGTAGAGCTCTGATACCTAAGCTTTCATAGCACTTCTCGTAAGCATTAAGAAAAACATTTAAAACTGATCTGTCCAGACTCATTTTTTCATATTTTCATATTTTTCATAATTCTATTCCATCTCTCTCTAGTTTCTAGTACAATATCCTGTCAGATCTGCTTGTGACTTTATATTTTTTCTCACACTTTCTCTGCAGTTTCTGGTCTTTCTCCTTTGCAATTTGAGAATATGCCTGGAGCAGCTCTATGAATAGCTTTCTTTTCTGTCACTGTTCCTTCATGCATATGCACATGTTTTGGCATTTTTTTAGTGTGCTGTAGCAGGTGGCAGAGAAGAAAACCAGCCCCAGGTGAACAACTGGCTCTCCATAAACTAACTGCAGGAGTTCTGTATCCACTGGTAAAGATCTGCCCTGCACTTGTACTGCCCCCTATTTCTAACTTCTTGGTCTAAAGTCAGTATTCAGTGTTCCTGTGTTCAGCTGCTTTGTTTTACAGCGGAAGTTGTAATCTGAAACTCCTTCAGATGAGAAGGTATGTAATAACTTCATAGATGCAAGTAACCTGACCAAGCTTCTCACCTGCATGATAGTTGTAGGTTTGCAGCATTAAAAGGATCTTGGTTTTTATTTCATTAAAATGCTGGAAAAATAAGTCCAGCTCAGTACCCCTTTCCATGTCACTGCACTGAGGGCTACAAGAGGGAAGAAACTAGGAGCTGACTGTGCTAGATCTAATCTTCCTGAGGGTCTTCTCTCATGAGGGTCCCAGTGTTTATTTGGTTTGCTTGTCTTACATTGCCCTGACTACTTGAAAAACAAACAAACAAAACCAAAACTGTAGGCTTTATTGGTACAGGCCCTTTGCCAACCTCCTTTAATCCTGGCAAACCCTCTGGTACCATTACTGACTTCTCTAGAGACTTAGGATGGGACCTTTGGATCACTTTCATCTGTGAACTAAAATGGGGTTTGAATACAGATTTCCAGATGGGAAAGCATACAGGTTTCAAACAGCGCCTTGCTTCTCCTTTTTTGAGGTTACATTCTGAAGGAGGCTCTGTGCAGTCATTCTAGATTTGAATCTGAGAATCCAAATTGCTAGGCAGTAATTTCATTGTGGTACGTTGAATAAATTGGCCTTTGAGCTGTGGATAATTTGCTAAACTTTAATTCATTGACTGCGTGACCTTCTTATGACTATATCTCACCGCACATAGGTAGTGCTTGCTGTACAAGAGATTGCAAAGAGAATAAGAAAATGTTGTCTTCCACTGAAGATTAGAAGTGTTTCTTATGTCATATACTATTCTATGACAAGCTCACTTTTTCTCCATTAAATGTTAGTTTTATTTTCTATATTATCGTAGCTTGTCTAAGTTCTAGTTGTGCTGCTCACACCCATTGCCAGAAACTCATCCTGGAGTTGATGTTGATAGACTGTTGTGAAGTAGTAGACTTTAGGAATGAATGGTTGAATGAGATGACCTGAGAGTCAAGATGTGTCTAACACTTCAGCCATGAAGATGTTGGCTTAGAGTGATGGGTGTAAGGTATGCTTTGCAGCATTGCTCCCTCTCTGCCGTCCCTAGAAGCCTCTACTGGGATTGCTGGAGCCTGAGGGAGGAGAATCATACCTCACAGATGCTCTCCTCCTCCTTTGAGATGGGAATAAGGATCACAAAAGTACAAGATGAGGAAGGACTTAAAAATTCCTCTGGCTCATGCTGCGGCTGGGGTGCAGATCCAGATGGACTGAACCCTTCCTACTATTTGGCTAAGCTGCTGCTATTCTTAAAACCTGCAGACAGGCAATTCCATAGCCTTCCGTGGTAATGTTTTCCAGTGCTTATCTGTCAGTATAGTGAGAAAGTTTCTCTATTAAGAGAAACTAACCTCGGTCTACCTTACTGCAAACTAAGCTGATTGCCTCTTGTCCTATGTGAGATGGACCTGCGAAACAACTAATTATCATCTCTTAGAGTATGATAATTATACCTTTCAACCTTTCATATATAGAAAGATTGTCATATTTTTCTTCCCTGTTTTGCTGTGTTCTTTCTTACCTAATCGAACCATTTTTTTCACTCATTTCTTACAGACGGTGTATGTGGGGTTTTTTTCCTTCTCTCTCTCATTTTCTACCGTATTTACTGATTCTTTCTGAACTCCTCTGGGTTTTAGAAGTATTTCTTTTAAAATGTGATGCCCACAATTGCACACAGTACTTGCTTTGGTACTCAAGATGTGTTCTGTGCCCTCTTGCTGTTCTCAGTGGGAAGGTTCAGTCTGGCCCATTTGCCTACATGGAATAGTAGCTGCAGCCAGAGCACTGCTAGAAGCTGGAAGCCAGAACACAGAAATGCTGTTTTTGTCTAGTCAGTAAAAAGAGAAAAAAAAAAAAAAAAAAAAAAAAAAAACCCTGTCAGATTCTATTTAGTGTAAGCAATTATGGCTTGAACTGGCCCCTTTCCAAGTTCTGGCAAAACAAGATTGTCACTTGTGTTTAATTAATGACATCAGCAACAGCAGAGCCCCAAACTTGGATAGTTGTGCACATGTGCATTTTTTTCCAACTCCAGGAAGCAGTTTTATCTGCAGTATTCAAGAGTTGTATGTTAGAGAAAGTTCAGGTTCCCCGCTTTCACTCTGAGGTGTCTTGTGGAAGCTACAGACTGCTTTTGCCAGGTGACTGACAACTGACATCTCCTTATTTCAGTTCATAATCTTTTTGCTCTGGGACTTCTTTGCTTACCTCATTGTGTGATGTTCTGCAATGTGGATGTTGTGCTAAATGAAAGAGGGTCAGGGAACGATCCCTGGCCCTAGGGCCTAGTAGCTCACTCTGGCTCTCATCCACACAGTTTAGGACGAGCTCTCTTTAAAGCTGACTGACTGTTTCTCGCTGTGTAACATTTGGCCCTTGGTTTTCCGTGAGCCCTATGAAATGTAGCAGTGACTCTGACATGTAAGAGTGTGTGTGCATGTGCGCACACATGTGGGGAGTCCCCTCTGTTCAAAGCACCTGAAATAATGCAAGAATTGTGTTGTGGCCCATAGAATTGTGTTTTTGTAATATCAAACAGCAAGTATGTTATGTGTCTGAGGGGCTGGCAGGCATGTAAGATAGTTTGAAGGTGTAAAACCTGCTGTGCTTATGTTGGAGGAATGAACAGAGTAGAGAGCGCCATCCTTGGAGTGGTCCCTGGAGTGACCTATCCCTGGAGGTGTCTGGCTTTGTCTTAGAGAGGGCTCTTTGAAATGCTTCAAAGGCTGTGGAGTGGGCTGACAATTAAGCAGTAGAAATTATCAGGGGACCAATGTAGGAGTTCAGCCTCTGGCCCTCTCTTGGTTAGCGCTGGAGCTGTACTCTAATGCTTTGATCCGAATCACAGCCGAGCTTCGGCATTGGCTGTAGTGCAAAAATTGAAATTTCTGACTTGAATGATGGCATTAGCATTTTCTATATGAAAAATGACATCTAGTTGAGTCACTGAGAGAGGTGAAAGAATCCAGGATTTCACAGAGTGGCTGCTAGATGAAATCTTGCCTCTGTTGCCTGTATAGGTGTCAAGAATTTGAAACG